CCCCACCCCCCCCCCCCCCCAAGTAAAACTCATCTTCTGTCGTCTTGATCTTTTCCAGCTCCATCTGTGACAGACTGCTTGCCGGAGGAGACAGAAGCAGGGAAAAGCAATGGTAAATGGCATGCCGATTCAACTCTCACTTGGCATCTTTTAAGGCCCGCAGATGCTAGACTGAGAGCCACTGGTATTAGGAGCATGTTGATGATGGTGCTGTGCTCAGACTTCACCCAGCGTCTCTCTGGGTGCCCCCAATTAACGGCTTCTGATTGCCTTTCGAAATGTGTGAGATGCCGGAGGCCACAGAGGCCAGCTCCCTTCTGGATGAAGAGATCTCAGCGTTACTGAACAGGGTCCGATTTCTTGACCTGACCTTCATGCCCAGATTCTTGGGCTGGTTAAGTTGGAGTCGCTACGGTCAGAGTCGCCCATTCGCTGCAATCAAGTCTGCCACGGGGGTGGACCGATGGGGATGTCGTCCTTGGATCCAGCACTGGTGGGTTGTGGAACCGGTCAGGTCTGTAACCCAGAGATCCCCTTGCAACTCAAGACATTTCTCAAGACTGGGGCTGAGTCTGCCTCCTTGGGTGTAACAATAAGAAGCCAATTGTAAATAGCATGTGGTCTGCTCCATGTACCTTGTAGAGAACTTCAGTCACATCATTAAAAACCAGAACATCCCAATGATTAGAGTTGTGTTTTTTGGGGGGAGGTAAAATTAATGAGTAAAGAAATATGGGAAGGTAAAGAATTTAGCCTGGGTTGTGACAGAGCGTCCTTGTTTAGTGCAGCTGCATCCAAAGTCAAAACAGCCTGGATGATATCCAGTCTCAAGCAGGAGAGGGAAAAGATTTATTCCCCCCCCCCCCCCGTGGGGTGGTTGGGTTTTGGACTAATCAGCCCTTTGGCTCCTGCAAGCAAAGCGTAATCTGTTATGGTCAACCTATGAAAGTAGATTCCAGCCGTCGTGCCTAACTGTAGTACATGCAGATCGGAATCGACCTCCTTACAGCCGAACGAGTCGTTTTCTAACCTTCATGGCTATCATTAGAAATGTACAGCTTGGGTTTTATCCAAATGGAGAGTTAGAACAGGACGGAGCCAAAGAGGCCGGCCGAGCAGCCATGAGAGCGAGAGGCGTTGATGGATGACCTCCAGCATATAGATCGCTGAGCAAGCCGTTCCCCCTCTCGGTGGTCAATGATGCCAGCCTGTGCCGGAGGGCAAAACATGGGGACAGGCTAAATTAAAAGCCGTATTTAGCTGTATGGAGAGGTCACTCGCACAGGATTCCTGCCGAAAAGTTTGGGCTGCCATAAGAGATTCCCAGAGAAAGGTGTGATGTCATGTCTTCCTCGTAAGGAGCCCTGGCATTGGGGGTCCAACAGCTTACCATTCTCTACGAGAGCGAGAGCAAGAGAGCGAGAGCGCTCCTGAAGGACAGTCGGGAATTCTCAAGGGCAACCCATAGATGCCCTAAAATGAAGCCATGGCAGGCGAAGTGGTAGAAATCTGCTTGGACGTGTCATAGAGGCAGGTAAACTCAAGCGGAAACAAAGTGTTCTGGGAATAGGCTGTTCCTGGGTCTTTGCTTTCTCCTGCTGATTGCAGCTTCAGAGCTGAATTCCACACAGATCGGGGGCAACGAAGGAAGGAAGGAGGGAGGGAAGGGAAAGAAGGAAGGAAGGGAAGGGGGAAGGAAAGAGCTGATGCTGGAAGTGAGGGAGAAGGAAGGAAGGAAGGAAGGAAGGAAGGAAGGAAGGAAGGAATTTTAATTTGGGGAGGGGGCTGCCTTGGGAAGTTGCTGGCTGATGTGGCTTCACAAAGAAGGTCTGGCCTGGACAAAACACTGAGCGCTGTGGAAAGCAGAAGGACCCTCTGCCATGGTTCCTGAAGTAAGAGGGGAGTGAGGGAGGGAGGGAGGAAGGAGGAAAGGAGGGAGGGAAGGAGGGAGGAAGGAAGGAAAAGGAGAAAGCAAGGAAGCAGGGAAGAAGGAAGGAAAGAGCTGATGCTGGGAGGGAGGGAGGGAAAGAAAGAAGGGAGGGAGGGAGGAAGGAAGAAGGGAAAAGGAAAAAGCAGGGAAGATGGAAAAGAGCTGATGCTGGAAGGGAGGGAGGGGACTTCTTTTGAGCTTGCAAGACTGCTGGTCAGGGAAGGGGAAGAAAATCTGCCACCCAAGACGACCATGCTGAAGTGAGCTCCGTAAGAGGGACCTGGATGGATGAAGCCAGGGGCGTCCTCCTCTCTCAGCTCAGCCCGGCCAGGTTCTCTGTGCAGCAGCAGCAGCAGCAGCAGGCCAGACTTGCGGGTGGGGGGGGGGGCGGGGCGGGGGGNAGATCTGACCCCCCCCCCGGGCTCAAATGTGTATATCTGAAAGTGGGCGTCTAGTTAATGGTCTCAAGAGGCCTCTGGCCCCCCATCGTGTTCCAGAGCATAGTCTGGAGCTAGTACTTCGTGCAGGGCAGGATGATGGCGATCCGGCTGAGGAGGAACTCTCTGTAGTTCCTCTGTCATGGACCGATCACTACGTGATGAGGTTTAGACTTGCTGGCTCTCGGAGCCTCTCCAGGTTTGTGGGACTAGTGAGGAAAGCTGAGTCATGTCCCATGAGGTGGATTTCCTCACAGCTCCCGGGGGGTTTCCCTTGGCCTGGTGGCCCCGTTCAGCCCCGACTGACTCTTCTACCAGGGGGAAACGGCCAGGGTGCGACAACCCCCCCCCCCGAGTGGAGACCAACGGGAGCCGGATGATGATGAAACGAGCGGGATAGAGACGAGAGCAATGATGGCAGAGAACGCAGAGTGAATCTAACCCAGTACGAGCTAGAGCTCATTTGAAGGGTCTGGGGCAGTGGTTGCCCCAAGGAACCCTCTTCTCCTCCACCCCGCAGCATCTGCGCAGAGCCATCGAGCAGAGTTGTTTGGGGGCCCCCGGAGGGGGGGCTGCTCTGTGCCCCCTCCCCAAGAACAAGGGGCTGACCGGGTAGCTGTCGGCCAGGCTCCAGTTTCAAAGACTTTGTTTTTCTCAGAGCGACAAATACGTAAACCTAAAGCCACAGACAAAACTATAAGAACGTAATGGAGAAGGATCAGAACTGGGGCTGACCTGCCCTGGGGCAAGAAAGCCGTATTGGGCCCCCACGATTAGGCTGTCTGAGGCTCCCTTGCCCTGCCTGTCACTAGCCAGCGGTCGCAACCCCAGCCCTCAACTGCCCCTCCAAAGGGCTTTGGTCGACGCAAGGCCCGCGTACGGGGCCGCCTTGCACTTCACCAACCCTGCCGGGAAGTTGCTGCGTGTTTAGCCTGCATGAAAGGATTCCTCCCGGGAAGATCGCCAGGGGAGGGTGCTGAGCTCAAAAAAAGGTCCTTTTCGAAAGCAGGGCAGCTGTGTCTGGTTGGGAGGTTTTTCAGGGCTGTCCCTTTTGCAAAGCTGAGCCCTCCTCGGCCATAAAGCAGCAAAGACCAGCCTCATGTTCCTTGTTGTTCTCGTTTTGAGCGCGCACCCTGTTGTTGCTTGATATTTTTTCTCCTCTTGTGGGCTTTTAAAGGTCGACAGGTCCTTGGAAGAGAGACTCAAGTCAGCTAAAGACCCAAGGTCCTTAGTAGCTGAAATGGATTCCACTAAGCCGCTGGAAGGTGCTTTGTTACAGGTATGCTCGGAGGAAAGGGTGCCACCAATATAAACCGAGTGTCTCCCCCCCCCCGTCTTCTTAGAGCAGTCCTGTGAGGTGGGGGAAGGGGGAAGACGGTCCTTGGCTCAGAATCACGAGCAAACCTTTGGGCTCAAAAAGTGATTTCAACCCGGACCTCTTGGAAGCTGTCTACTTCTTCGCCCAGCATTGGCTGTTTGCCCCTGCTGATTCGCAAGGTCACATCAGGAAGGAGAGAATCCGCCCTGCGTCTGTTGGTGGTTCCCTTGGTCTTCCCTGCTTCGTCGCTCCCAGCCGGCTACAGGCTCTCCTAATGCACCTGCTTTTTGGACTTCTGCTGGCATTTGTCCTATTCGGTGGGCTGGGAAACCAACCCCCTCCCCTTCCGAGGCCATTTGGATTTTCTGGTCCCCCTCTGCCCCAGGAATAGGGGCCTGTGGCCGCTGAATTCCAGAACCTCTGGAGGGGTGCATGTGGAGGGAAAGGTTCTCCGGGTCCCCACGCATTTGGGGTGCATTTTTGGTAGGGGAACGATAAATTAGAAAAGGCCTAGGAGTCCATTCCTCTGCAGAAGCCTTTGCTAAGTAGCTTCTTAATGGTTAAGCAGCAGCATCGTGTGCCGTCAAGTCAGTTCCGAATCCCAGGGCTTTCCAGGTAGAGAGTCCTGGTTTCCCCTTCCCTTCTTCCGGGGGTTGGCCTGGGACGGTGCAGCTTGCCCAAGGCTACCCAGGCTGGCTCTTCTTCCAGGAAGCCCGGGGGGGGGGCAGATCAAACTCCCAACCTCTGGCAATGGGGAGGAGATGGGCTTCCAAGCATTTAAGCCACTATGTACACAAGGAAATCCAAACCTCCTCCTCCTCCAGCGTCACTCACCCAGAGCTTTATCTCCCTGCTTATTGTCCCTGGGAAACATAGCCCTTCCCTGAACCCCATCCTGGGCACTGAGGCCCGGCTTGCCCTAATTATGAAACATTTATTTATTTATTTTACATCCCGAAGTCTACTCTGGGCGGCTAACAGCAATTCATAAAATAATAACAGTATAAAATAAAACAACAGCATTAATATAATTCAAGGCAGCAAGAATAAATTAAGTAATGACAGGAGGGAAAGCTTGCCTAAAGTGCAACTAGCACCTCAAATGAAGGCCCTCTGAGAGTACCCTGCTTTGATCTTTATTTTCCTTGCAGGGTGAAAAGTCAACGGCAGAGGCGGAAGAAGGAGAACTTTTGGATGAAGCTGCCGGAGATGAAAACGTCCAGCCCCTGCATAAAAGGTGAGATGAAATGCAAGGGAAAACAGGTCGCTTGGCCCCCCTGACCCTTAGTTCTGACAGAGGTCCCTTCTGCTTTGATGCCACCGTCATGTTGCCCACCGCCCTTGTGGCACAAAAATCAATTTGGTGGGATCAGAAAATCATGAACTTGGAAGGGACCCCTAAGGTGCCCAACCCCTCAGGGCAGGAATCCAAGTCCAAGGCCTCCAGTGTTGGAGGGCTCACCACTTCCCCCTGGGGCCATGGGTTCCGTTGTCGTACTGCTCTAACAGTTAGGAAGTTTTTCCTGATCTTCAACCTAAATGTAACTTCCTGTCACTTGAGCTCATTCTTCCATGTCCTGCACACTTGGACAGTCTTCATTGAAAAAAGCAGTCACCCATCAAGCCAAATTTAATCCTAAAACCGAGGAAAACCAACCTCACCATGAAAACCTTTCAGACCACCTAATGTGCTGCTAAAACAAGTTTCTCTTGAAGGGCTCCAGTGCCGGAGCGCTCAACAACTCCCCGTGAGGTGACGGGTTCCACTGTCGTAGTGTTCTAACAGTTTCCCCCTTGTCCTGTGTGATGAAGGGCCCTCGTGTACTTATAATCGTGGTGAGCGGGGGCCCGTGGGTTTCTCAGATTGAGGACCAAGGGGCCAGGCTGGCGGTCTCTTTCTGGTTTGATTCAGCAGGCTTTGCTGTAGCCTTCCCAAAATGTATGTTGGTTGAGAAGGATGAGAAATATTGGCTGGGGAAAGGTCACTCGGTCAGCTTTATGGCTGAGCAGGGATTTGAACTCAGATCCTGGAGTAGCCCTGTCCAAAGCCTGGAAAACCCTTTTGCATGACACTTTTGGGTGGGGGAATTCCGGACCGCTGTGCTACCAATAACATGAAATGAATGAATTAACCTGTCTGAGCTCGAAGCGCACGGCGTCGGCCGCTGGTTTCACGGGCCTGCCTTTGAGTTTTTTTCTCCCGAAACCCTCAGCCTCCTCCCTTTGTTGGCTCTTTGGCTTGTACAGATGCCGCCAGCTCGTGGAAAGCATGGAGCTGGAGAACGCCCAGCTCCGGCGCCAGCTGCAGAAGCTGGAGCGGGAGCACGAAGACGTGGTGGAGCGCAACGAGGAGCTGGAGTCGCTCCTGGGGGAGGCGCAGAACCGAAGCCAGGAGGAGCGCGAGCAGCTCCAGGACCGAGTGGACGGGCTGCGGAGGAAGGTGACTGGGGTTGCGAGAGGCGCCCACTTGTCCCCTGGGGCCAAGTGGGCGCCATGGGTCAAGGCCGGGAGATGGACCTCGGGGGGGATCTCGGCTTCCGAAACTGGGTGGCACCAGGTCCTCGGGCGCATTGCAGCTGACAGACCAGAGGCTTGGAGAAGTTGCTTTATTTGTTTATTTATTTATGTATTTATTTATTTATTTAACTTATATACCACCCACTCTACCCAAAGGTCTCTGGGCGGCTTACAACCATTAAAATACAATAAAAAGATAATACCATTAAAATAGATACTTTAAAATTGCTATCGGGACCCATAGCTGATATTACATATTTCAATTAAAAACCTTCTGGAACAGAAAGGTTTTGACCTGGCACCAAAATGTCATCAGCGTCGGCACCAGGCAAATCTCAGTCAGGAGGGCATTCCATAGTCTGGAATGTTGCTTTGTGGGGGGGGGGACTACAGTTCCCACTCGCCCCCTCAGGTACGGGATGCTGCGGGTTGTCGTCCGAAACAGGAAGGCTCCTCCCATCTCTGCTTAAGAGCTGCTGCCTCAGATGGATTCTGACGCCGCTGGAAGGGGAACCGATTTTAACCGTTCCAGGCCTTTGGGGCCTCTTGTTTGCTGTCAGACGGGATGAGCCGACAAGCGTGGTCATCAGCTATAGGAAATCTGAAGAGGCCATGGGGACGTTGGGAGGGGAGAGGGGGGTGCTGTCGGAACAGCCCGACGCTTTGGGAGAAGTCATTCAGTGCAAGAGTGGGCCACGGCCGAGGGCCCGAGGGCCACTTTTCCACTCCCGGGATCCCCTGCCCTGAAAATGGGGTAAAGCGTGGATTTTTTTTCTTTTAAAAAGGTGACTGGAAATCCACTTCCTGTTCCATTCAGCGTTCTGAAGGGGGTCCTTGTGTTCTGCAGGGCGAAACCAGGGTCATGTAAATACAGTAGGACACCACCCCCACTCCCCCCGTATCTGTGGAATCAGTACCCGCTGGTTCACTTATCCACACTCTGAAAATATTTGAAATATTAAAAGAAAAATCCTCGAAACATGTATTTCTAAAGACAAAGTTGCCAGAACTGGCCAGGAGAGGGAGACAGAGACCACGCTGTGAATAGCGTTCGCTGTTAAAATAGCGTTTGCTATAATCGGCGTCTTTCAGCATCCAAGGGGAGGGGCGCTGGAACTGATCCCCTGCAAATATGGGGGTCCTCCTGGACACTCATCGTCCGGCAAAGGTAAGATGTGTCTTTGTGGCTCACGTTTTGTGTTCCTGTTCTAACACAAGAGAGGTGAGGACGGCAGGAAAGGACATGTAGAAAAATCTTAACTCTGTTGCTTCCAGAGTCTCTCGTTTAACTCGCTCTCTTTCTCGTTCTCTTGCTTGCTGGCATCTTCAAGGTCGCACGTTTAGAGGCGGAGCTGTGCCAGGCACAGAAGATGAAGCCAGACAAGGTGGATGAAGACACGGCAGACTTCCAAAAGGCAAGGAACCTCCCGGGGAGGGTCTGGAGTGGGAAGGAGGTGGGACGGGGCGAACCCCCAGACCCCATGCGTGTGGGGCGTCCGACACCCTCTCTGCTCCCCCTCACTCCCTGTGGGCAGCTGAACGGCTCTCCCTTTTTTTTGCTGGTGTCAGAGGCTGAAGATTCACCAAGAGAAAGTCAGAGCACTGGAAAGCAAACTTTCCGAGGTGGAGAAACAGAGGGAGCAACTGGCCGGGGACCTGGAAGTAACGCAGAAGGCGCTGAACGAGGAGAAGAAGGTGAGTTGTCCCCCACCCGCGTGGCGGCCGGCGGCGGAATCTTTATGGCTGAATCTCCAGAGACCATAGCAGAATCCCAACCAATGTGGGTCGGAGGATGGGGTTGTATTTCTCTCCCACCTTCTCTGGGATTTTTTCCAGTGAGCTTGGGTTGGCCTCCCTTGCTCTTCTCTTTAAGGCGCCATCTTCACAACAGCCCTTTGAGGCAGATCAGCCAGAGACAGGAAAGGTTGCCTTTTCCCCCTGGACTAGAGCTCCCAAAATCTTGGCTGGGGGGGTTCTGGGGAGGGGGGTTGTAATCCAAAAATTCCCTCCCTCCCTCCCTCCCTCCCTCCCTCTTTCTTTCTTTCTTTCTTTCTTTCTTTCTTTCTTTCTTTCTTTCTTTCTTTCTTTCTTTCTTTCTTTCTTTCTTTCTTTCTTTCTCTCTCTCTCTCTCTCTCTCTCTCTCTCTCTCTCTCCCTCCCTT